CTGATGATGAACTTCACTCATTCAAGTTGTTTTGATAAGACTTTAGACATAATAATTACACTAGTGCGTTCGAGCACCTTCTGCTGCAGCAGCATGCACACAGCCTGAATAGAGACTGATGGCAGCAACCTACAGCCATTAGCTGACGGCTTGTGTTCCATTGATCTGATTGCATTAATCAAGGCTGTTTACAGAGAGAACACAGCAGCCAATGATGGATGACTGGCGGTAATTATGCAACAGCCTGCAAACATCACACCTCTCATTTATGCGTAGCTGACACAGTCAATGAAAATAATCCACAATCCTGTCTATTTTAACACTAGTTAAGAAATCTCCCTGACAGCTCTTCAGCATCCCATGAGAGGCATTTAGAAAAGTGGAAGGCTGAGAGGGAAAAAGGCAACAAGAGAGACGGAGAGATGAAGTGAGAGGAAGTTTCTGTTTATCTGATCACAGCCCTTTCGCCCTGCTAAATCTGCAAGACAAAGTGAGAGGGCACAAGTGGCAGGATAAGAATTAATTGCATTTTAATAATCGGCCAGCTCTTTTATTAATGAGCCCTGCGTCCCACTTTTGTTTTTCGAGCACTGAGTACTTCTCTCTGCCACTGGCTGCATTAAAGGCTTAGCAGCTTATTTAGTCCTGAGCCATAGCGCTCAGCTTCCTTGTTTGCAGAGTTACCTGGGCACATCAAGCCAAACACAACACACTTTTTCAATATGTGGTTTGGATGCAGTCTTGTTTCTTGAATAATACCTTTTGCACTGTGATCTGGCCATCAAGCCAGTGGGAAAAAATATGCTGAATTCTGTAAGTTAAAGGAGCTATGAGAAACTTTGTTTTTGTGTCATTTTGGTTGTTCCTGTACACCAACACAGCTTCTCAATCTAACTGTTGTTTGTACTTGTTTTTGGAGGTGAGAAAAAACAAGATACAACTTCCTTTTCTCTTATATATTTTAACAACACTGTTTGCAGGATTCATAGTATTGAGGTTTTGTGTCTTTATGCATCAGTGTAAGATTACTGACAGTTATATGACAACATAGATGCAAAGCCGACTTAGACTATTCTTACATGGTCATAGCAATATTGTGTATAAAGCTATAGTTAGCAACATACCCGAAGAAAGCCGTTTCACATTGCTCAGTATGGAGACCATTAAGAATTTAAAGTCTCTACCATGGCTGTACAAAATGTATTTTTATATGCACGGCCATATTTCAGTCGTGTCTGAGGAGAGGAGGTACTATTACTTGGAGCGGCTGTGGCTCAGTTGGTAGAGTCGTCGTCATCTCTCAACCAGAAGGTCGAGGGTTTGATCCCCAGCTCCTGCATGTCACATGTCCAATGTGTCCTTGAGCAAGACACTTAACCCCGAATAGCTCCCGCTGCTTCTTCTGCAGCATATGGATGTGTATGAATGGGAGTCGTTACTTCTGCTAATCAATTTACAGCGCTTTTAGTAGTCAGAAGTATTGAAAAGCGCTATACAAGCTAACGTCCATTTACCATTTTTTACCCAGGATCTACTTTTTGACCTAGATTTTCTCGTGTTTTCCTTTATCGCCGTCCATTTTGGCTTTTCCTCGTGCCAGAGGGGACAAGCATTAAGAGTAGGTCTACAGTGACAGCCGAGCATGGTTTCTTTCATGATTTGATTTGTCTTCATTGGTCATACGGACGCATCATACTTAAACTGATTCTTTCTTAACCAGTTAAAAAAATGTTGTAGATGACTCTCACTAGTGATCAGAGGTAGCCCATTACTTAACACAAGTATGTGTCAGTGAACTGGCATCCCCAATACTTCTGTGTTTTCCTCTTGTATTGTTGTTACTTTCTTTTGCACCTACAACCTCTTGTTGCATTCAAGCCACCTTTTGCCCTGAGCTCTGTGTTGCTTTGCTTTCCCGTCTAGAGTAGCATTTATATCTTTTGCCCCGCTCTTGTAAAAGGTATTATGGTCAAATAGCTCTTGCTATATGTGCAGCAGCGGCCTTTGCTCTCCTGTGGCCTGTAGCCGCCAAGCTAAATAAATATTACATGGACCCTGTTCTAAAGGGTTGCCATTCCCATTCATTGGAGCAGCAATAGACTCCTTGAACTTTTACAATATTACATCAGCCAGTCTGGGCTGTTTCTCCTTTCTGGGGAGTTTTCCCCTCTTTGTTTAAGCTCTAACTTCTTTGTTCACAACTTTCATCCACACTTTGCTCTTTTTGCAAGCAATATAGCAGCCATTTTCTTTATATTTCCTCCACACATGCTGGGTAAAAAAGTTTCTCTATCCAATTTTATGTGGCTGTAGACAAAAAGCCCATGAAAAAAAAAAGAAACAATATAAAAGTAACAGGAGTAAATGGGAAAACAATTCTCCAGTTGCCAGCCTAGGCCTTCAATCGACGGGGCTCTATTTCTTTTTCCTCCAGACTAAATAATTTCACACACAGCTGGGAAGGGGGCAATCATATTTCATGAGTCGGTACTATATCATCTACTGGAGCACCTTTAGGTTTAATACGCACAGGCACCAGCCAGCCAGTCAGACAAGGGCCACCGTTCCTGGAAGTGAAGCGAGATTTCTTTTATTAGATCTGTAATAAACAAATCATCAGTGCTAATGGTGTGAGAAAGCCTGTGTCTTTTGATGTCACACTTTCTTTATTTACCGACCACACTGGACCCCTTGCTTTCTCTCTGGTGCTGCCTCAAAGTGCAGAGAGCACAGACGGTGGCTTAATGGAAGCGACTGGTCTCCTCCGGCGTTCTGCTATTTCCGTCTGCCTCTGCTGCCATGGAGGTGGAAGTCTCTCCTCATTATATTGCTGTTTACAGAATCCTCCTCCTTTCCTCTTATCACTGATTACCTTCACCTCGATGCTGTGACTCTGCACGCCCACCACCACCAGCAAGCCTTCATTCCAGTCTGAAGATATATGAGGGATGACTTCTTCTTTTTTGTTGTTGTCAGATCCCTGTCTTTTTTAGATCCTTAAAAAACAACTTTGATACAGCTTTCAACCAGAAACAGCCACCACTTTGACCTGACCAATGAATAACATCATGGTCTGGTCATACACTGTTTTTATTGTCTTTTAACAATTTTGCCTTGGTTGTTTTGTTTCCTTAATGATATCAATTTGGGAACTCTTGTGCCACATTTGCATGTATGGACCCCAGTATAAATAGTTGTGGCCTTGGTAATGGCTAAGGGGGGTTCAAATAAATAATTACTGTACATAGGTAAATAAGGGCGGCTGTAGCTCAGTTGGTATAGTTGTCGCCTGGTCGCCGGGTTCGATCCCCACCTGAGCAACATGGCCGATGCGTCCTTGGGCAAGACACTTAATCCTGCATTGCTCCTTCAGTGGCGGTGGATTAGTGTTGTACGTCGCTTTGGATAAAAGCGTCTGCTAAATGAACTGTAACAATTGTAACAATGTAAATACAGAGGAAAGAACTATTGTGATATCACCCTAGGGTTTGTACATTTTGAAGCCTTAAATTGGGCATTTTGGCTCTTGGCGGCCCCCCAAGATGTGTCCATACTTGGATGAGACTTATGATATGAGTGTTAACACCTCTATCATGGTTGACAGCCGTCTATGGAAATAACCTATCAATCAAAAATTGCAAAAACCTCATCTCTGTTAATAGATATCTCCATGTAAATGCTGAGCCTGTGGGAGAGGGACAAGGTGTTTGGTGTCCCACGAGTTGTTGTTCCTGTTTTTTGTCTGAGAAGTATTGGCAAGTCACAGTTCAGCAGGCTTGTTTCCATACATCGACTGTACAAAACATGGACGTAATCTTAGTGAAGCCACCATTGGTTTCTAAAGTGGCCTTATGAAGTCAAACGATGGTGGTCGCCATATTGGAGATGCCCTCTCCACCTAACTTTTAATGAATCTAGAAACAATGCAAAGTGATTTTGATTAAATGAGGTGGGGCTTAAACCTCCTATAAGGCCTTCACCTGCCAGTCAGCTCAACCACGCCCCGATTTTGCAATTGTATGAATAACTCTTTGCCGTAATAAAATAAAAATTGGTGGCTTTAAAATTTGACTCTAAATATAGAATCATTTACAAAATTATTTAAAGTAGATGTTTGCTGATGAAATAAGTCAAAAGACAAGGAGGGTTATTTTCCCAACTGGTTTCTAAGGCTAACATTTTTAACCAAGGGAGTTGCCCCCTGCTGGCCACTTCAAAGTATGCATATTAAGACACTTTCACATTTGTTTCATGTTTGCCACCAGAGGCTAAGCACTCTTCTTATCTACACTTAAGAGGGTGCAATCAAATATTCTCTCTGTTTTCTGCTGTGACTCCCCGATGCCTTACATTTCTTTTAATGTTAATGTGATGAGGTGCTGTCATATGAATAGCTTCTCCCCACTTTGAAAACAGTTACGTAAATATGGCTCTAATAAGCCTTTTTGTGCAGCCTCACACAATGTTGCATCAATCTGTCTTCTGGTAAAGTTGGAAATGGGAGAATTAAGGAGGAGAGCAGTTAAACCATTTGGTCTTACCCATCAAAAGAGTATTTCCTTCTGTGCTAAAGTTAGACATTAAATGCACCGTGAAAACGGAACATGACAACATGTGATGTTTGAAACACTGAATCTCCGGTCCTCGTTGGCTGCATTTTTCTAATCTTCTCTCGCAGCTGGTTACGACTTATTTGTCCCACTGTCTTTGATGACACCCTGCTGCAGTGCTGTGAGCTCCTCAGATGACGTTCAACGTTCTAGTCTGTCAGGCTGGATATTTGATTCCTTTCATTTCCAGTATAGCGGGAGAATCCATAGTGTGAATGTGTTTTACAAACATGCAGGTTTTCTCCACTAGCACTGTCGCTTGCTGTGTGTGAACTCTGTGGCTTGGTGTGTGTGTGTGTGTGTGTTTGTGTGGGTGGGTGCGTGAGATGGCGCACACAGCCTTCCTGCTGGGCTGTTTGTGATTTGAATTCCCCCCCCTCCCTACCACAGGCAAAGGACCTGAGACACTGTTCGCGGGGCAGAAGCTGAACGACAACGAGTGGCACACTGTGAAGGTGGTGCGAAGAGGCAAGAGCTTGCAGCTGTCTGTGGATAATGTCACAGTGGAAGGTTAGTTGATTTTGGTACTCAGATGTGTTAATTTGTGTAAAGCAGCAGTTAATTGAAAATTAAAAGCAGTCAGAAATCCACATGTATTATCGCGCAATAACACATCCGCTGACAGAAAGTCAACCGCTGTGCCATTTCGTATTAAAACTACTCACGAAAAGAGGAAGGTGAGTAATTATGGTGATAATGAAACAGACATGGAGGTGGTGCATCATTTGTTAATTTATTATTAAACTGATATTTACAGCACGATGTGACAAAACAAAAAAAAAGTGTTAATTTGCAAATGTCATGCTATCACTGGAGTTATAATGATTTGTTACATTTTGTGTCTGTCATTAAACATAAATGGCCATTTTGAGTACAAATCTTTCACACAGTCAACCTTTAGTTCATCTCATCTGATTGTCCAATACAGCAGCTTGGTCAGTGACACAAATTATGACACAGTACAATAGGAACTCCTCCAGAAAAAGGTAAAAGGTCTGCACACTATTTGGCTCCCAATGGGCAATGCTATTTAAACAGAGCAATGCTTCGATCTACGAGATCTTCCTCAGGCCTGAGTTGGTACCCCTAAAACATGTGTTTTTTTGGGGGGGCAGACTCCTTCCCCTTTTTGTAATTTTTTTTATGACAAGTCAAGTCAAGTGATGTAGTATTAGTGTAAAAGTCTGCTCTATGTGGAGGACAGGGGCGATGGATTTGTCGAAGGACTTCCATTCAGTAGAAAAGAGTTTGGATTCCCATGTTAAATAAATGTTACAGAACTTTACGTTAGATATTTCATAATGTGTTAGTTGTGCACATGCATACCTTGTGTGACAACCATACTCAAAAACATAACATAACCAAGTAGTTTTGGTGGTGAAAATCTATTCTAAACATTTGTTAGAAGTTTTTTGTTCGTACGAAAGTAAAGATTTGAGATGTTTCTCATCAAGCTTCATATTGAAAATATAACCAGATGTTGCTGAATTTATCAAAGCTCATTGTACTGTCTCTTTTGATAGTCTAACCGAGGAGTCCCCAAACATCCCATGCCAAGGACCCCCATAAACATGTAGCATCAACCTCTGGCGGTGACCCTCTCAAGAAAACTTTCATAAATTCCTTTGCTACGATTGCAAATTGTTAACAAAAATTAAGATAAACAATTCCTCTCTGGTTAATGATTTTATTCCATTCAATATGTTGTTTTGTTGCGTTATTAACAATATTGATGGATTGTCATAGAAACAGAACACAAATTTGGATACACAGTGATCTGTAGCATCTCAAAATACATTTATCAAAATGTTATTTTATTTTTTGTCCAGTTTCCACCCTCTTCTGCCTAAGTTTCCATGACCCCCCTAGAACTTGCTGGCGACCCCCCAGGGCATCTGGTCTAAAACACTGGTCTAACTGACCATTTGCTTTTTCTTTAAAGTAAAATTGACCTTGACGCCCTGGACATCCCAAACTGAAGCTTAGTGGTACCAATATAGTCACATGTTGAAACTTAAAGCTGCAGACCAAGCTGCCATATTTGATGATGTGAGAAAACTGTGCTTCTATTTAAGGTTTCATGATTAAGAACAACTAAGTTTCAGCCTGGGTAAATGTACACAATATATAATTACATGATTGGATATATGTAATTCGGACAAAACACAGAGTAATCAAAGGGGGGGGGGGGGGGATGTTTTTTTTTACATGCACAAATCAGCTGTGAGTGAGCAGCCATATGCAGGATACAGAGGTACAGGCTTTGCCAGCCTCTAAATTGCAAGAGAAGGATGAAAGGTCAAGAGATGAGGTAGAGTCACAGGCACTCACATTATTGTGGCCTCAGGCGGAAAGATGGCCGGACAAAGGATGAGAGGAAGAGGTGAGAACAAGGTGTGAGTTAGATGTAGAAAAGTGGGCATGCTGAGGCCACAGCAAAGGAATGACCCTGTGAAGTTCCCACTGGTTCCCAAACTGGTTCACAGGAAAGAAAAGAAAGCATGTGTCCGGGAAGACCTTGCAAAGCTGGCCAGGGTTCAGAATGAAGATTCAAATCGGCGGCTTGCCAAGCTCATTACTTTTCACATCTCGTATAAACACAATATATATTTTGGATTGTAGAGCAGCAACAACACACTCACTGCTCGTATACTTTTCTCAACAATAGGTTCAAAATAAAGGCTTCACCCTAAAGCTGTCACACAAATAGAATGCTATACAAACCAATCCATCTTTGTTAAGCGATTAAAATCAATCACAAGAGCAAGTTATAATGGTAAAGAAATGCCGAACAATATGTCAATAGCTTTAAATCAAATACAGTTTAACATTGCTTCTTAGTTAAATGCATTTATAAATGTCTTTTTGAATTCGACTTTGAAATGCCTGATCATGCTTCGATTTTCAAACAATCTCCACGTAATTAACTTCAGGAAGTTTAGCTCAAACCTTACAACATACTACATACTGTATGTCCTCTTTGTGTCGTTATTGTCCTTTCACATTGTTAAAATTAAACATATGTTCTCCAAGGATAATTTGCCTTGCCTGTTTGAGCTCTGCAAGATATGGTAGCACTTTACGATGAAGTACACACATTTTGCATAGTTAGTGGGAAACGAATGGGAAACTAACCACAAGGTAACCACTTAGTAATGGGTAGATAGTGAGTACTTCTTCATCACACGTTCTAGAGTAGCTAATGATTATTTAACGGATCATGAATGCTGGATAAACCACACAAATTGTTGCATATGTCAATGGGGAAATAACTACTAGTTAACCATTAGTTCCTGGGTAGATAGTGAGAAACTTCTCATCCAATTCTATAGAGTAGCTTTTGATTACTTATGACAATGAAGTGAGGCATCATACTGGGTAGTTGCAAAGTTTGTGTACCTTATTTTAAAGTGTTTCCCAATCAATTTATTATTGTCTTTGCTCAAGCTACTCCTTTTTTTTCATTTGTTTTTTAACTTCCACCATTTCAGGCCAGATGACTGGTGCCCACACTCGTCTAGAGTTCCACAACATCGAGACCGGCATCATGACAGAGCGACGCTTCATCTCCGTGGTGCCCTCGAACTTCATCGGCCATCTCCAGGGCCTGACCTTCAACGGGCTGCCTTATCTAGACCAGTGCAAGAATGGAGACATCTCCTACTGTGAACTGAACGCCCGTTTTGGCATGCGCCACATCATCGCAGATCCGGTGACGTTTCGAACGAAAGGCAGCTACTTAGCTTTAGCAACGTTACAAGCTTACGCCTCCATGCACCTCTTCTTTCAGTTCAAAACCACCACGCCCGACGGACTGATGCTCTTCAACTCTGGAGACGGGAGCGACTTTATTGTCGTGGAGCTCGTCAAAGGGTGAGTTTTATTGCATTTCAGTTTGTTTATTGGCAAGAAAAGTGAAGTGAAACTGTGAAAGTGAAAAAATAAAGTCAAGTTAAAGCGGGCTCCAAATGGCAATGCAAACCAATAAAGTGGTTCAGAAATTATTAAAACATGGACAGATCCCTTCTTTATTGGTGACTGTGCGAGGGGGGGGGGGATTTACACCAATCCTCTTTGTGTTTGGTGTAACTACTGATTTAGTTTGACTTTTTCTGTAATCTACATTTCACAGAAAACATGTTTATGCATATAGAAAGCCTGGCCACTGTTATGTCATCCATTGATTTTTGGAGTAGTGTTTTGAAACTTTTGGGTTTCAGGAGCCAGAAGTGGTAGGCCTCTATCCTGGATTACAGATTGCCAGGGTTGTGGTTTGCCAATCACAGGTTGCCACACCCTAAAGTTTAGGGGTGGTTTAGGGCCTAGTGGTTAGTGAGCACTCCCCATGTATGGAGTCTGTAGTTCTTGAAGCGGAGAACCGGGTTCGATTCCAACCTGTGGCTCTTATCCTGCATGGAATTCCTTACTCACTCTCTCTCTCTCTCTCTCCGATTTCTTACTCTATCCACTGTCCTGTCTCTAATTAAAGGCAAACAAAAGCCCAAAAAGAAACCTTTAAAAAGACGGGACCCACAAGAATAAAAAAGGTTCCATTTCTGTCAAAGATTTACACCAATTTTAGTTGCTTCCCTTGATAACATCCCAACAGAGCAGGCCTTCACACACCTAAAGAGCTTTGTATAAACCATCCGGTAAGTGTATGATTCAAGTTATCAAACTCACGTTAAGGAGTCTGGTGAATTCTCAGTTGGTCACCAAATAAACTACGAATGAATCCCTTCAGCTATCATTTAAACTGTATTTACCTTGGAACAAAACAGAATAGAAAGTGAGAAGTTTTTTCTCTTAAGTTAACACAGAGCAGTGAGTCATTGAATGCTGCTATGAATCATGCTCGGCTGGATAAAAGGGACTTTAATGTATGGTGAGTAATCATAATCTGCAGTCTTAAAAGCTCAGCTGAGAATTGCTGGTTGATGATAGTTGAGAAAACAGAAAGAGGAGACATATATGTGTCAGTTTAAAAAAAAAAAGAGTCTCTTGGGTATCTATTAGCAGATAACTGTAAGTGCATAATTGCAAGCACAAAGCAATTCTCTGACCGGCAAAGTATGTGGTGAATTTTTCAACAAAAGCTTGAAGAGGCTTGCACGAACCGGAAATAACAAGTCTTGAATTGTGAATTGTATCACCCCAAAAGCCGTTCATAATTAGAGTATCAGAAAGAGGCTTTTGCTTCCTCTTGTGCTCTATATTCAGCACAGTTTCAACACAAAAGCCTGAGCTGCCTCTGCTGCACAAAGACAAGAGGCTACATAAAGGAATTGGAATGGAGGTAGAGAAACAAAAAAGCCCATACCTTGAATGAAACAGCCTCAATAGCCTTAACCTGAAAGACAAAAGACAGCCATATTTGTGTGAAGGAGGGAGCTGTGCCACCTTGTCTACCTTTGGGCAAACAGGCTTTTACACAAAAGCAGCTTTCTATATTTACATGTCATACGAGTGAGTAAAAAGAAGAAATCCCAGGCCTCATGTACAGCCCCGCAAAATGTTATTTGTCTCAAAAATGTGTTCTTAGAGTACAGACCGGAAAACATCCAAGCTAAAGCAGGGGAGCAGAATGTAATCCCATCCAATCACTACCAATCGTGAGAATCTGAGGTTGAGTGTTGTTGAGTGTGACTTGTCATTAGTGTTTGTCATTCAAAGGAAACATGTTATGATGAGTAAATGTTGTTTGAATTTCTAGTGAGAGCCAAATCAGAAATGATTGTACTGATTTTCTTCCAGCTTGCTCTCAATGTTTTTTTGATTTATTTTATTTCAAGTGTTAATTTGACACAAGAACAAAACTGTGTATGGGGTGAGCTGCACGTACTCACCCGGAAGTGTTAATGCAGGAAGGGAATATTCAGGAATATTCACCCAGAGCAAGTTTGAGGGGACCGTGCATCGTGTTATTAAGCTGCTTCATACTCTTTTCTGCTCACCAGTATTTTCTTTTTCCTCAAGCTCGTTGATAGGTTGAAGCATAGCATTGATATATTAGGAAAATAAAATCATTATATTGTCTGACTCTGTCACTTCGTCCGCCATCTTGGCTGTCCTTTTTACGTCATGTTTTGCCTCCTGTGACCCCGAAAACAGCTAAGGACAACCATTGTGTCAGATTTCTAATAAAGACCACATGAACAGAAACATACACTCTGCTTACTCTGACATCCTTCTCCACAGCTACGTCCACTACGTCTTTGATCTCGGAAACGGGCCGTCGCTGATGAAGGGCAACTCAGACAAGCCGCTCAATGACAACCAGTGGCACAACGTGGTGGTGTCCCGGGACGCCAACAACGTACACACCCTCAAGATCGACTCACGCACCGTGACGCAGCACTCCAATGGAGCCCGCAACCTGGACCTCAAAGGTAAGAGCAGGCTGGCCCACACAGATTTGTTCCAGAAAACCACTGACAGGAAAGAGCTGTTCCACTGTCAACCTTGGTCTGTCCATTAAGTGTTGTTGGATGGTGGCCATGAACACACACCAGCTCAGATCTGTCTAAGTTAGAGCCACTTTTCAGAATCAAAGAGGCTTTAAGAATAGGTCCACTGTACACCCATTTGTTCTTATAGTCCCTGATAAATTCTACTTATTAAAAAAAAGACACAATAAAGGTGCTTGTTCCAAAATAATTCACAAAGCAAAGGATTGAAATTGCACACGTCAACATGACATCCAAATATACCACAGGTAGATCATATCAATAATACTTATAATGATGATAATAAACTAAAGTGCAAATACACAGGAAAATAATGACTACAAGTACCAGAAGTATATCTGATAAGGTATGTGCCTTAAGGAGAAATGTATCATATTCCTGCTTTTAGTGTTGTAGTACTCGAAATTGGTCTTGGTCTCAAGACCAATTTTTAGCATTTTTACTCTGCCTTGTCTCGGTCTCAGACTAGGCGGACTCTGGATTTTAAATCAAGACCGGTCAAGACCACCACTGACAGGCGGTTTTTCCACTTCATTACTGTGATCAGAAGGAAAACGCCTGCTGCACAAAAGATGATGATTTTACAGTGATATTTATGGTATTGGTCTTGTCTCGGCCTCCCCCTGCCTTGGTATTGGTATTGGTCTTGGTCTTGACTTGGTCTCAATCCGTGAATGTCTTTGTCTTGTCTGTTGTTAGTGAACAGCGAGTGCAGTGGTTATTCATGCTCAGCCACTGCTTGTGTATGTTTGTAAAGGACCATGGACAGGCATATGCTAACACGGGATGGGTCTTTGTAACGGTGCTTGAACACTTGTAGCAGGAAGGGGTTCTCTGCAGTGGTCACATGACCTTAACAACACATTAGCTTTGGCAATGTCTTTGACCCTCTTTTTGAAAAACAGCACGGGGTTTGTGCCTGGCTCCAATGATTGATATCTCTGGTTGGTGCCACCTAATACACATAAGCATGTTCAATACGTGTCCAATGACATACTGCACTGAGAACCCCGAATTTCCCCAAACAACTAACGATTTAAAGACACAGGTGGATCTTGTAGCTCCAATGTTTCATCCAAATCTGATTAAATATGTAGTGTCTGATGCAAAACTAGTCCACTTCTTCATTAAACTAGTTATCAGCTTGCATTAATTTGACTTTGCTTTGTTGTAAATAAACAAGACAACTCTACATTAGTATTACGTGTTAGGTATTCACTTTTTTTATGCTGCCTCACAGAGAGGACTCAGAGAATCTGTCAGACAGCAATCTTCATGTCCTTAAATAATATTTCAGTTCAAGGGTCAAAGATACAGAGACATAATGACACCCTTAAGTCCAAATGCAGGGGAAAAAAAGATTTTCAAAGTAAAAAAAAGATATTAGAAAAATATTTTTGGATCAGCCTTCAATGTAATTAATCAAATCTATATTCTTCAATGGTATTTATGTTAGTAATTATTGTTCTCTGTGCATTCCTTGAAAAAAATCATCCAAACGAACACACAAGACATACAAGACAATGCATGTGCTTATAAGACATTTCAATGCAGGAGCCCAAGGTAAACAAAGAAAACCAAATGATACCATCAAGTGTGAATGCTGTTGCCAAACAAGAGTGGACAGGGATTGAATTAAAACTGAACAAAAACCCTGGAAGCAGCTGTGTTAACCCATCGTCTCCATCTCAGAGGATGATTTCCCCTCTAACAGCAGATGTTGGCTTTACAGAAACAGGGCTTTATTTCCTTTACAAATTGGTATCCTGAAGTGACCTAAATCCAAAATGGCAGACAAAGGTGAAAAAACAAAACGATAACAGCGTGTCTCTTCCGCCTCCTGTGCTTTTCTTTCTTTTGTCTTTCCTCGCCTTTCTCCGCCACACTGCCTGTTTTCCTGTAAAAAAAAAAAAATCAGTCACATTGGGAACTCTTGACTTCTACCCGCAATGTGATGACTGTCTTTTGATGGAGACACCTTTTACTTCTTTGACTTTAAAATACCCTGCCCTCGAGTATTATCTTGAGATAAAAGCAATGGTTAGATGGCACTTAAGTGTGAATAGGTGTCTCTGGTCTACTGGGAAACTGGGGACTGGAAGCGTGGGTAATTGTAGGCTGTAGACCTCAGAAGTCAGGCTTTTCTGATGTGTTATTTGGACTCTTGAGAGTGGCTGCCTGCCGAGGGAAAGAGTGACAGCGTGGACATAAAAGTAAGAAGTAAAAAACAGGAAGAAAAGGAGATAGACGACGGGATGTTGACAGCGGACAACAGAGGACAGAGGCTCACCAGTGCTAAAATCTTTCAAGCACCTGTCTGTAGTAATATCAGGATAAGGTGGATGATTCACTTTGAGTCTGACTGTGTCTTGTACCAGAGTTTGGAGTGCTCTTGAGGGTACTGCAAGTTATTTTGGAAAACACATGAGAAGTCCGGGGGAGTCCCAGGGGCGGCCGAAAGGCTGCATGGAGTCAAAGGATCAAAAGACGCCCCATTCTTTTTTGGGAAGACATGATTTATGGTCGAACTTGCACGTTATTTATTTTTATTTTGTAAACCTCTGTCCTCTGGGGTAGGAATGGTGCAATTAAAAAGGATACCGTATTTTCCGCACTATAAGGCGCACTTAAAAGCCTTTAATTTTCTCAAAAAACGACAGTGCGCCTTATAATCCGGAGCGCCTTATATATGGATCAATTGGTTAATTGGTTGATCCATACTGGTTGTACACGGCGCTCAGCGACACTGACTCGGATAATGACGAGAGGGAGCCGGGCATGTTGGATGCCGTACTCGCCCAACTGTTCAATTCGGACACTGAAGAAGAAGAATTCGAGGGATTCGTGGACGGGGAATGAACTGAAAAAGTGAGCTTTACGTGTTATACGTAACTGAACAATGTTGAGTTATGCACTAACGTTTGAATTAGCGGTATCAGACTGTGTTTCTTTTACGTGTTTACAACTGAACAAGGCTGGGAGATATTGTGAATATGCACATTAAGGTTTGAACAACGTTGAGTTATTGTGAATGCACTACGTATAAAACTACGTTTTGAGAGTTAAGAGAAACGTCAAAGAAATAATTTATTATTTGGGGAAATCGTCTTATGTACTTTTGTTTTTGTATATATATGTTACGTTTTATACGTATTTATATTTATATATTCACAATATCTCCCAGCCTTGTTCAGTTGTAAACACGTTCTATTCTATGCGCCTTATAATCCGGTGCGCCCTATATATGAAAACAGTTCTAAAATAGGCCATTCATTGAAGGTGCGCTTTATAATCCGGTGCGCCTTATAGTGTGGAAAATACGGTAATCATAACGGGGGGGAAGGGGTTGAAGAGGAATGGAACCATTCCAGTTGTCCTTACGCTGGGTCACAGACAATAGGGTTTTATAAGCTGGAGACACGGGGGGTGCGGGGTGCGGGGGGGGGGGGGTGTTTTTGTGTAAGTTTAGATAAAAGAATTCTAGCAGTGAGACATGCAATTATCAGTCAGGTTTCAATACATTTCAAAGTACAATGCAAATAAAATGTGTCAAAACTTGCTAATTATATTATGGTCACATATGCTTTGGAGGACGAATGTAATTGTCCAATTACTCGTGTGCTTTATTCACAAGGCGAGACGTAAATAGAGGAGTCAGTAATTACTCGTTATAATTGACGCCTGCGTTAGAGGTTTTTTAAATTATGGCAAGCTGCAGCGTGATATGTATTCATGACGCCATGCATTTGATTGATAGATAAAATCAGTCTCCTGTGCATCCATGCAATCTTTGCACTGTAATTTCTCTGCTCATCCCCTACAGTAAAGTGAAGTAATTGATGTCTGTAATTAGGAGGCAGGTTTTTGTTTTTGATGGATTGCTTCTGTCAAGGCTGTGGCCAAGACGGCTGTCAATCAAATCTGAGATGAGACAGGATGATTATTAGAAGACAGTGAAGGAGGGTTTGAAGGCAGTTCGCTGCTTTAATGCTTTATGCTTGTTGATACTGTTATTTTGGTTGTGCGTCATAGCAAGATCGGGGACTCCACGGCATTCTCATATTGAAAATATCACACCGTTTTCACTCATGATGCAATGCGTCACTCAGCTGCCATCATAGTTTACACAATATAAAAATAAACTGTCTTCCCGTTAATGAAACTAATGTGAAATGTGATCAAACATGAATGAAGTGTCAGTGACATCCCACATTGAGTGTAGATGACGTGTAACTTGATGATCAAACAAGTAACTGTCCAAGAGTTTAAGTTAAGGCGGGCCTTAAGCCTCCGAGACAACAGCTAGAACACGCCCACTTTTCCAGTCAGCTAAGCCACGCCCCTTATCATGAAAACACTTGAATATATCTTTGTTTATCTGGTGGAAACAGATCATTTCCAGCCAGCCTCAAGAGGCAACTGGAGGAGCTGCATGTTTCTTTGCACTTCCACATTGACCTCATATTTTAACAGTGCAGGTTGCCACTTGATTGGAAGACGTGGTGGTCTCCTAGCATTGCAGATGTGGTAAATATACTTTTGTACCTCCTTGCATTTAAACGTCAACATCGCAACTAGTGCTGACAAGATCCCTCATGCAGCAAAAAAAACATTTTAGATATATTTTACATTATAAACCCCATTGAATGATATGCCTCACAGATAAACAAAAGGCTACACTGTCAACGTGGCTGGGTAGTAGCCCTCCATCTGTCTTAATAATCTGTGAGCTGCTGTTTCCAAACGTCTTCTTTTTCAGAGCCCTTTCCAGGAATCAAGACATTATAAGCACTAGGCCATGATAGGCCATCAAAGCTCCAAAACTCAAGTGATCCAAAACGACATTTGGGGGAATTCAACCCAATATAACCCAACCTGTTCAAACTGTTACACCTACTGTAATAGAAAGAAAGGACGTTTCC